TGCCCGGCTAATTTTTTATATATATATCAGTTGGCCAATTAATTTCTTTCTATTTATAGTAGAGACGGGGTCTCGCTCTTGCTCAGGCTGGTTTTGAACTCCTGACCTTGAGCAATCCGCCCGCCTCGGCCTCCCAAGAGCTAGGATTACAGGCGTGAGCCACAGCGCCCGGCCTAAGTACAAATAACTTTTTAACATGTTATTATGTTACATGGAGACCATTTCACCCACTGCTCTGTTTGGCTGCCAGTCTCTTATCCCTCTCTTCAGCGATGGTGAGGCGGATACCTTTTCCTCGAGGAAGAGAAATCCATGGTTTGTTGCCTTTGCCAATAACGAAAATGTTGGAGAGGCGAGTGGCAAAGCTGTTGCCATTGGCATCTTTCACGCGAACCATGTCAAAAGACCCGGGATGTCTTTCTCTGTTGGTGATCACACCAGTTCTTCCCAGGTTAGCGCCTCCATCATCATACACAGGTTACCAGTGTCAAACTTGATGAAATCAGTAATCTTGCCAGTCTCCAAATCAATCTGAATGGTGTCATTCACTTTGATGAGTGGATCAGGATAGCGGATGGTGCGAGCATCATGAGTCACCAGATGAGGGATTCCTTTGGTGCCCACAAAGATTTTTCTCACTTTGCACAACTTGTACTTGGCCTCCTCAAGTGTGATAAGATGAACAGCAAAGCGACCCTTGGTGTCATAAATCAGACGGAAATTCTCTCCAGTCTTGTCAATGCTGATGACATCCATAAATCCAGCAGGGTAGGTTGTATCAGTTCGGACCTTGCCATCAATTTTGATGAAACGCTGCATGAAGATCTTCTTCACTTCATCTCCTGTCAGGGCATACTTAAGCCTGTTTCTTAGGAAAATGATGAGTGGGAGACACTCTCTCAGCTTGTGGGGACTGGTGAATGGACGAGGAGCAAACACACGGGTCAGCTTATCCAGCATCCAATGCTTTGGAGCTGCTACACGCTTCAGATGCTTCTTGGGACCGCGGGCCATGGCTGCGCTAAGCATGGAAAGAGGGGTCCTCAAACTTTTTAAACGGGGCCAGTTCACTGTCCCTCAGACTGTTGGAGGGCCAGACTATAGTTTAAAAAAAAACTGTGAACAAATCCCTATGCACACTGCACATATCTTATTTTGAAGTAAAAAAACAAATGGGCAAAAACACCCACATGTGGCCCACAGGCTGTAGTTTGAGGATGCCTAATTTAGGGTATAAAGTATGAAATACCCAATTTTCTTAAGTACTAAGTTTGATAGTTGATTATCTCTGACATGTCATGTTGACACTTCTTGTTTTATTTTTTTTGTGAAGGTATAGCCTCAGTCTTGCAAATGAATGTTTTGACTTGTGATTATCTTTCAATTTTTTTGAGAAATTTTTGTGAAACCATCGATAAGTAAAAAATTTGTATTATTTTCAGAGTTTCTTTTTTATTTCTTTTTTAAAATAGAAATGGGGTCTCACTCTTGTTCAGGCCAGTCTTGAATTCCTGAGCTCTCAGGCAGTCCTCCCGCCTCAGTCTCCCAGAGTGGTTGGATGGCATGAGCCATGCCAGGCCTTGTGTTATTTTTGAATATGAGTTTTGTCCTGGAACCAATGCAGCACAGACAGCTCAAAATATCAATGAAATGTTTGGGGAGGGTATGGATAATGAAAGCACAGTATGTCAATGGTTTGAGAAGTTCCATTCTGGTGATTTTAATCTTGAAAATGAGCCGAGACCGGAGACCAAGGTGGATAATAATAGCTAAAATGTGTAGTGAAAGCGAATCTATCTCTACCTACGCATGAATTAGCAGCAAGGTTTGATGTTACTATTTCAACAATATTGGACCATTTCAAACAAACTGGCAAGGTAAAGAAGCTGGATAGATGGGTTTTGCATGAATTAAATGAGCATCAGAAGGGAAATTGTCTAGAAGCTGGCCTTTCTTTGCTGTCACAACATAAAGGTGAACCATTTCTATACCATGTTGTTATGTGTGATGAAAAATGGAATCTTTTTGACATCGCAAGTGCTTGGCACAATGGTTAGATAAAGATGAAGCACTGAAACACAGTCCAAAACTGAATATTCATCAAAAGCTAATGATGTCTGTTCAGTGGTCCAGCACTAATATTATCAACTATATCTTCATGAAACCTGGTCATCAATCCATTACAGCGGGTGTCTACTGCAACCAGCTGGACAAAATGATGAGGATGCTTGTGATTAAGTAGACGAGATTGGTCAATAGGGACAGGCCAATCCTCTTACAAGGCAATGCTCGACCACATGTTGCGCAAACAATGCTGTTCAAACTACAGAAGCTAGATTGTGAAATTCTCTGTCATCTACCATCTTCACCAGACCTTGCATTAGCTGACTACCACCTCTTCCAAGCTTTGAACCACTTCTTGCAAGGAAAAATATTCAATTCTCAGCAAGCTGTAGAAAACACCTTTAGAGATTTCACGGCCACTCACTCTCCAGGCTTCTTTGCTGCTGGCATAAACAAGCTACCATTAAGATGGCAAAACTGTGTCGATCATTTAGGCACGTGCTTTGATGAATTGTACTGTTTTCTTGTTTGTGATATCTACAACTTTTGATTTAAAATTGGACATTTCATATTTAATGACCTAAATAACGTGTAATTGTGCAACATTTCTTTGGAGGATAAAACTAGAACTTGAAGAACTTACTATGAGAAATGATTCTTCCATTCTAATAGAGTTTCTTTTTAAGTGTGTGATGGGAAGTTTTGGTGTTTTCTTACCCATGTTGGGAATTATTCAAATTGGAGATGAGAGAGGAAAGCATCTGCGTTGGTTTGCTGGGGCTGTCTTAACAGAGTACCACCACTGGGTGGCTTAAGTAACAGACATTTATTGTCTTGCAGTTCTGGAAACTAGAGGACTGAAATCAAGGTGTTGCCGTATTGGTTCCTTCTGAGGGCTACAAGGGAGAATTTGTTCCATGTCTGTTGTCCAGCATGTTCTCTGGCCACCTTCAGCATTCCTTGGATTGTGTTGCATGCCCTCAATCTCTATCTTCATGTTCACACGTGTTCTCTCTGTACACATGTCTCTGTGTCCAAATTTCCCCTTTTTATAATGACACCAGTCATATTGGATCAGGGGCCTACACTACTCTTGGATTACCTCCTCTTAACTAATCACATCTTCAATGACCTTATTTCCAAATAAGGTCACATTCTGAGGTACTGAGGGTTAGGACTTCAACCTATGAATTTTGAAGAAGACATAATTCAACCTGTAATAGTATCATATTCTAGAAAATAACTGTAATATACTTCCAGAAATTGCAGTACTGAATACCCAGTAAAAATCCAGTTGCATCCTAGTGGATTCATTCCAGAAAAGATGTTCATAAACTGAATCACTGCAAACACCAGGTGAACCAAGTGTTTCATGGCCTCCTATCATGGGTGCTTTCCACAATCTTGCACCCATCACAAACACAACTTATTTTGTGTGTGTGCATGAGAGAGAAAGAGAGTGTGTATGTGTATGTGTGAGTGGGAGAGAGAGAGACAGAGAAAGAGAGAGCAGGGGTTGGTAAGTGAGATTTTTCTGCCTTTTTGTTCCTAAGGCTTTACATTTAGTGAAAAAGATGAGATAATTTCTTATTGCACAAGAAAAAAATTTAGAAAGCAGCAAAAATGCTTATCTTTCTTTACTCAGAAAAGATGTTCATGAATTAGATATATAAATTACATTTTAATAAGTACTATTTGTAAACTCTTAAGTAAATCTCAGTGAATCTTTATGTGTGTATGTAAATCAGTGTGTTAAAAAAGTAAGTTTGCTTGAAGCTTGGCACACTTTTATTAACTCTAATTTAAAATTATGAAAGACCCTACCAGAAAAACTCTGCATACTTATGTAGTTTAGGGTTAAACCGATGAACAAGAATTTCTTTAGCCTCTGTAATATTATGCCTATTTTCTATTTCATCATATTGACTTCCATAATGATGAAATATATTCTCATATCACTCAGGATTCATGGGTGCTGCATCTTGTGTGAAGCCTGACAGTCCTGCTAGAAGGCTGGGCCATCTCTCCACTGATCCCACACCATCCTATGACATTGTTTAATGTGTTATTCCCCATCAGTGATATATCTTACCACTAGACTGTGAACTCCTCAGGAATAAAATGTGGAAATTAATCAGGTGTCTATATCATAGACATTGCATATCTATCTCATAGAAAAGTACACATTTATATTTCAAAACAATTCCAATTTTCTTAAAGACAATCAAATTTCATAGGTTAGGAAAATGTCTGCCTATCTAAAACTGCCTATCTAACTGCCTATCTAACCTTCTGATAATAACTCCCAGCTTATTATGGGATTTCTATTAGCAGGAATTTTTTTGTTGTTATTTAATGGAATAAAAGACATAGTATTGATTGTCTGGAAGCTTCTTGTGAAGAATTGATTTGGTGGTTAAATATTTGATAATTTCAAAATAATCTTTTCCTCGTAGTTAACTAGAGAAATTCTTCAATCTTCCTGAAGCACTTACACTTTTCATAAAATTATTAAAAGCTTTGAAATATCTGCCCAATAATTAAGTTAAGGAAAACATGTACTTGAATTTTTAAAATATTTTTAAAATGTTTTTAATTTATTGTAACTAGGTTTTAAATCTCTATTTAAAGGAGGAAAAGAAATAGGTGGTTAACACTGAAATATGCTTCTAAAAGTTCAAATAAGATGAGCCACTTGGTTTGGTAACATGAAGATCATTTATGACTTACACTAGCAGGTTGAATACAGTAGAGGGGCAGAATTAAAAGGAGATTAGTTGGTGGGGTGAGTGAGAGGCAAGGAAATAGAAACAACCAGTGTAGACACCTCTTATTTAGGTCCTCCTGTCTCCATAACTCTTGGCTCATTAGAATCTTTCTTTGCTACTGATACAGAAATCAAACTATATGGTCATTCTCGGGTTTTGGCAAAGTTTATTGAAATATCATTTTACCTTCATAAGAATATTACAAACACATTTAAAAATCTAAATAATAGTTACTGTTACAAAATACATTTACTTTGCACACATAGTATTTGTCAATGAGTCAGAGGTTTATTTCATGACATTTGATCTCTTAGAAGCAAAGGCCATTTTTCTGTCATCCCTTATAACTCTGATTGAATAAGTCTTAGTGCTTTCTTCATGTTTTCGATCACTGAAATGAGAGTAAATATATTATGTTATTAGTGAATGAAAGTATCAAATGTTATAATCTATTAACTCTAGAACCTGAAATTGGCCCATTTAAATTAATAATAGCTTTGAAAACATGAGAATTCATCTGTGACATTAAAGAACATTGTGCTAAAGATATACATGTAAATTTAGGGCTTAGGCTATTGAAATCTGGTTGATCAACTTTCTTTATGTTTAAACAATTTGATCAGAGGGGTTTTGAAGGAGTACCTATTTTTTTAACTGACCTTTTTTTTTTTTTTTGAGACAGAGTCTCACTTTATTGCCCAGGCTAGAGTGAGTGTGGTGGCATCAGACTAGCTCACAGCAACCTCAAACTCCTGGGCTCAAGCCATCCTTCTGCCTCAGCCTCCCAAGTAGCTGGGACTACAGGCATGCGCCACCATGCCTGGCTAAGTTTTTCTATATATATTCATTGGCCAATTTCTTTCTATTTATAGTAGAGACGGAGTCTCGCTGTTGCTCAGGCTGGTTTCGAACTCTTGACCTTGAGCAATCCGCCCGCCTCGGCCTCCCAGAGTGCTAGGATTACAGGCGTGAGCCACTGCGCCTGGCCTTAACTGATCATTTTATATCAGTATGGCTGGATCTAATAGGCACAGTTGTCTTATTAAATATAGTCGATAGTAAATGTTGTAAAAAAATAAATGAAAAGATTTCATTATCATTTGTAGAGATCATATGTAACCTTTGACACCAGGAGAATAGACTGTCTCTCTTAAGTTTGTGTCATTTTAATGTGTACTATATTCTTTTTAGTGGTCTCCAAATTTAGTAATCATAAGAACCTTTAGGCATGCCTGTTAAAATGGAGATTCTGAGGTGCCCCAGAAATACCAATTTTGGTGGGAGCTAGGAGTTTGCATTTTTAAGCACTACAACCAGTCCCGGTGATTCTAATTTGTAGATGGCACTATTTTTGAAGAAGCACTGATAGTGGGAATCATTGGCTCTTTTAACAGTCAGAGATGAGTTATGATCACTGTTCAAGATAATTTATGAATACTTACATACTGGTAAATCCTGAGGCTCATATGTATACAGTCTATTAGAGTATCTTCCAGTTATATCAGCTCTGACTGTTAAAGAAGGATCTGCCAAGAAAAAGAAAAACAATTCACTTAAGTATTATTTAACATGTTCTCAAATCATTTTTGCCTCTTACTTAAACCAATATTAAGCAAATTTGTAAGCAAAATTACTTTTCATACATGTGAGTTCATGATGAATTAAACTGAATTCTCCTTTTAGTGTGTCTTAGCTGTCAGTCCAGTTTGAGGCACTGTACTGAAAGTATTAATGCATTAGGATATTGATTTAATAGCATAAACTGCTTTTAAAAATATTTAAAATTTAAAAATTATAGATATAATGAATCTTGATTGTAGAAATAACAAAGACTGTTATTTATTGGGTTAGAAATGACCTCCTATTAAAAAGAATAGTACTTGAACTAGCACTTAAAAGCAAGAATGCTAAGATTTCCACTAATTTTTAAAATCTGATGAAATGAGATTACACACATACCCACAAACATGATTCTAGGCACGTATTGCCCATCAGGTGATAAATTCTTATCGGTAGTCTCATGCTAGCAGGAGAAGGGGAAAAAAATGAATGTTACTGGATTGGATTATTTTTGATAGTTAATTTCAAAAATATTTTATGTGAACTAGACTTTTAGTAAATTATATATTTTGGCCTTTTATAATTCTATATAACTTTCTATATCAACATATCAATAACAGCTCTTATGTTTTAAAAATAGAAAAAGGATTAAAATATTTCATTAATTTATGATATTAAGAAACCATTATGAGTTCATATACCATGAGATTCAGCATAATGAAATTGTTCTGAGCCAGTTCTTGTATTTCTTCATCTTGGGCAAATACTTTTTTTAGTGCTGTGGGGGGGAAAATGCCAGTTAGTTTCAATATAACATAGCAAAATCTACTGTCTTTCATTTGTTTGCATCTATAACTTGGGTGTAAATAGTTCATTGGCCTATTGCTACTTTGTCCCTCGTTGGGAAGGAACGAGGGTGCGCTGTCCATATGACATCCAGGGATAATCATATCAGTGAAGACACCAGTTTTATAATTTCATGTAACTCATTGGCTTATTGGTTAAAATAACTTCTTTAAGCAATTTTTCCCACTCACCTCCTTTATCTTTTTGTGGGAAGAACAGGGATGTCAAATTCCAAAGAACACATAATAAAAATATATTCAATAGGTCATTAACAATCATAGTCTTTAAGCACTTTAGTAAAATGATGGTACTCTGGCAGTTGTCCTTTTTTTAAATGGGATTTTTTTTTTTTTTTTTTTTTTTTTACTATTCTTGCTATTCTTAATAGGTCACTTTTTCTACTTCATACTGGAAATATAATAAAATCTCAGGAGCTAAAATTACCTTGGCAGTATTGACAATCCTCCAAGTGATGAATAACCATCAATGGCTTGTTACTATACAAAAAGCATAGAATTAAGTCAAATGATTAACTTTGAGTCAAAACATACAGTGGAATTAGACTTATATCCTAAATGACACTGAAACATATATAGATAGAAAACTCTCACTTAGATTGTTCATACATTGTAGGTTGGCACAAGAATGAAAGGATGTGAAAATAGTCAAACAATAGCTTTTTTGTAAAAACTTTCTAAAAAACTAAATGAAAAATTTATATGAACCCAAATGTACCACTAAGGGAAAAAAATTACAAACCAATGAGAAGACATATTGTGTTCTTGAATAGAAAGACTTAACCATCATAAAATGTAATTTCTCTCTATACTTATACAATTTTAAGATAATCACAGTAAATGGCTATAAAAAATTTTAAGGATAATTCTAAAATTGAAATGAAAAAATATACATGGATAGTTAGGAACATTCTGAAAAGAAATCATTGGAGATTAGGATTTAATTAGTATTAAACATTTTACAAAGCTATATAAAATGGTTATACTATATAAAGCAGTTATACAGTATATGAATAGAATAGAATGGAAAGTATAGAAGTAAAACCTTTCAATGTAAATAGATTAGAATCTCCAATTAAAGACATAGAGCCACTCAATGGATTAAAAAATATGTCCCTTCCCTCCCCCTAAAAACCCACAAGGTCCAACTATATGTTGCCTACAAGAAATTTGCTTCACTTTTAAGGACACATGTAGATGGAAATTGAAAGGAGAATAAGGGTAGCTATATTTCTATCAGATAAAATAGACTTTAAGCCAAAACCTGGAAAAGGAGACAAAGAAAGCCAGTATATAATAACAAAGAGAGCAATTTACCAAAAATATACAACTATAAATATATAGGCCCTCAATTTCATAGCAACTGAATACATTAAGCAAACTTTAATAGAACTGAAAAGAGCAATCAATTGCAATACAATAATAGTAGGGGATTTCAATAGCCCACTTTCTTTTTCTTTTCTCCTTTTTTTTTTTTTTTGAGACAGGATCTCACTCTGCTGCCTGGGATAGAGTGCAGTGGTATGATCATAGCTCACTGCAACCTCAAACTCCTGAGCTTAAGTGATCCTCCAGCTTCAGCCTCCCAAGTAACTGGGACTACAGGCATGCATCACCATGCCTGGATAATTTTTCTATTTTTTTGTAGAGATAAGGTCTCACTCTTGTTCAGGCTGGTCTTGAACTGCTGACCTCAAGCATTTCCTTTGCCTTAGCCTCACAGAGTGCTAGGATTACAGGCATGAGTCACTAACATTGGCCATGAACTACATTTTAGAACAAATGAGCCTAACAGATATATAAGAAGCATTCTAATAGCAACAGAAGATATATTCTTCTCAGGAGCACAGTAAACATTCTCCAGAATAGATCACATGTTAGGCCACAAAATGTCTGAACAAATTTAAGAACACTGAAATCATGTCAGGTATCATTTCTGATCACAATAAAATAAAACTAGAAACCAATAATACAAAATTTGGAAAATTTACAAATATGTAGAAATCAACACACTTCTAATCAACTAATAGATTAAAGGAGATATTAAAGATAAATATAAAAATATCTTGAGACAAATGAAAATACAACAGATTTATGGGATACAGCAAAAACAGTTCTAAGGGGAAAGTTTATAGTAATAAATGCCTACATCAAAAAAGAAACATGATCCTACTTAATGCTGAGCATGACAGAGCTAGAACAAGAACAAACTACCCTAAAGTTAGTAGAAGAAAGGATATAATAAAAAGAGCAGAGGAGAAATTAATAAAAGAAAGGCTAGAAAAGATTAACAAAACTAAAATGAGTTTTTTTAAAAATAAAATTAAACTTTACCTAGATTAGCTAAGAAAAGAGACAAGACTCAATAAATCAGAAATGAAAGAGAAAACATTACAGCTGATACCACACAAATACAAAAAATCATAAGCGAATGCTATGAACTATTATATGCCAAAAGTTAGATAATCTAGAAGAAATGGATAAATTCCTAGACATATACAATACACCAAGATTGAATCACAGAGAAATACAAAATTTGAACAAAACAATAATGAGTAATGAGACTGAATCAGTAATAAAAAGTCTCTAATCAAAGAAAAGCTCAGGACCTGATGGCTTCACTGCTGAATTCTACCAACTACTTAAAGAGAACTAATATCAATCTTTCTCACACTCTTCCGAAAATTGAAGAAGAGAGAATACTTTCAAACTCATTTTATGAGGCCAGTATTATGCTGTTACCAAAGCCAGACAAAGATACATCAAGAAAAGAAAATTATAGACCAATATTCCTGATGAAAATAGATGTAAAAATTCTCAACAAATTGTTAGTAAATTAAATTTAACAGCACATTAAAAAGATCATTCACCATAATTAAATGGGATTTATCCTGGAGATGCAAGGATGGTTCAACATATACAAATCAATAAATGAGATAAACTACATTAACAGAATAAAAGACAAAATCCATATGACCACCTCAATAGATGCAGAAAAGGCATTTGACAAAATTTAACATTAATTCATGATAAAAACCACAACAAATTAGATATAGAAGGAATGTACTTCAACACAATAAAGGCCATATATGATAACCGCAGAGCTACCAAGATGTTCAACAGTGAGAAATTGAAAATTTTTCCTCTAAAATCAGAAAGATGACAGGGGTGGCTGTTCACAATAGCCAAGCTATGGAATCAATGTAAATGTTGATGAACGGATCAAGAATATGTGGTACATATGCACACAATGGAATACTATTCAGCCATAAAAAAACAATGAAGTCCTGTCATTCACAGCAACATGGATGAGGCTGGAGGACATGTCAAGTGAAATAAGTCAGACACAGAAAGATTAATACCTCATGTTTTCACTTATGTGGTAGCTAAAAAAAATTTGAGTTTATAGAAGCAGAGAGTAGTACAATGGTTATTAGAGGCTGGGAAGGGTGGAATGAAGGAAGGAGAAAGAGAGGTTGCAACTAGATAGGAAAAATAAGTTCTAATGTAGCACCATGGGTGAATATTGTTGACAATAACTTATCGTATATTTTTAAAAAGCTAGAAGAGAGGATTTCAAATGTTCCTATCACAAAGAAATGATACATATTCGAGGTGATGAATATGTTAATTACCCTGATTTGATCATTACACATTGTCGAAGTGAAATCTGATCAGGTGTGCCAAACTTACCCTCCCCTTGCTTTTGGTTGGTTGCTTTTTGTTGTTGTTATGACTTCTTATTTTTCCCCATTAAACTGAAGGCCCCGGGAGCGGAAGACTGTGCTGCTGAATGCTGAAATTTAACCTTCATTAGCCACCTTATAGATAATATTTATAAGTCGCCAAGGTAACAGTCATGTCAGTTGTTTTTCAGGAAGTTGAGGCAGCCCTTGTCCAGTTCAAACTGGTTGAGACCACTGGCCCTTCAAATGGGCTTGTATAAATGCCTGAGAGATGGCTTTTTGACGTCTGAGGGTCAAAACTCTACCCTGAGATCATATTAATGCTACCATTGTCTGTACATATGTCTTATGAAATGCCATGAAGCCTGACTCTGCTTGTGCAGAACAAACCTATTACTTCATTTTTCCCCACTGCCAATCACCTTCCACCATGCCTTAGACCATCGCACTTCCCTAACCTGCAAATATCTCTAAGCCTTATCTTTGGGGAGGTGGATTTGAGAATTGTTCTCTCCTCTCTTCACTTTATGGCCCTGCAAATAATTTTTTTCTTTTTTGCAAAATCCTTGTCACAGTGATTGATTTCCCGGGTGTAGGCAGAACAGACTTGGCCCTGGCCGATAACATTGTATATATGTATTGACATACCACTCTGTATCCCATAAATATGTACAACTAAAAATAAGGGAAAAAATTAGCTGAGAGGCATTTTACCTTTTTTGAGCATGAAAAAGACCTTCTTCGTAAGTTTGAACCCAAGTGATGTCATCTCCCCATCCTAAAACAAAAGAGAAAAATCAGTGCATGAACCCAGGACTACAGAAGAGCTCAGAAATGGGTATTGAATAAGCAGATATCTACCTCCAGATATTTAACTAAGCCACCAAGCTGTTGGCTGACATATGGTACAGAGGATATGCAATTTTAACTAGACGTGATGAGGTTGTGTCCTTTCAGATTGTAGTACTGAGGTTACAGGACTATGTTTCAAACCTGAAGGCCCCTGGCCTTGAACCGGTAAATGATTAATAAATACTATTATGATTAGAGGTGATTGAAAGGCTGTCTCTAGACAATGCAAAAGCTTTGGGTTTCAGAATGTTCAGAAATTAATAGTTAATCTTTGCATACTTTCTACAACTATTAGAAACACTTTGGACTGTACTCCAGAATGCCTTTGTATCTAGAGTCCCAAGAGATGCTGACATTTTCTAAGTCAGTATATTTGTGAAAAAAAGGGAATTACAAATTTTGCTTTGAGTTCTGACAAGGACAAACTTCTGGTGTGGGAATTTCATGGTTGAGAGACACAGTAAAACACTTGTGATTTGGAAGCATCCAGAAGAGTGAAAGAGAGCAAAACAGAAAGCAATGAATAAAGAGAGAACCCTTCAGCCTTCAAGAGGTGGTATGAGTAGGTTGGAAATGTGTATTAGACATTAAAGAACAAGATCACCAGGAAGAATGCACAAAACATCCAGAAATACTACAGAGTATTTTCAGGAAATGTCTCAGTTTATGGATGAGAAAACATTAAATTAATGTGAACATTTTAATAGAAATATTTGGAGGCTAGTTTGGATTTAGATTTTCTTGTATGTTTTGAATGTTGTCAGACTGTAGTTTTTGGCTTTGATGTTATGTATAAATAATATCAAGGAATTATGAAACAGAATCCTGAAGCAAGATATATGTGATTTTTGCTTATTTTTTGGGGGGGGTAGCAACTTTATAGAAATATAATTCCTATACCAATACAACTCACCCATTGAAAGTGGACATGTTTTTTAGTATCACAGAGTTGTGCAATTGTCACCACAATCAATTTTAGAATATTTTCATAACCTCAAAAAGTATCACCTCTTGCCCAGTCCCTCTATCTTCCCGAGTACTAAGAAACCCCTAATCTACTTTCTGTCTCTACAGATTTGCTTATTACAGACATTTCATATAAATAGAATCATACAATATGTGGTCTTTTGTAACTAAATTCTTAGCATCACGTTTTCAAGGTTCATTCATGTTGTGGCATGTATTAATATTTAATTTCTTTTTTAGGGTTGAATATTATTCCATTGTATGGACATACTACATTTTATTCATTATTGGTTGATGGACATTGAATTATTTTTACTTTTTGGCTTTATGCTGCTATATCTGTACAAGTTTTTGAGTAGGTATATTTTCATTTCTCTTGGGTAAATACCTAAAAGTGAAATTGCTGAGTCAAATGGTAACTCTGTATTTAACTTTCTGAGGAACTACCAGATTGTTTTCTAAAGTGGCTGAATCATTTTACGTTCTCATCATCAGTGTTGTTGGATTGTTTTTTCCTGATTTAAAATCTTAACATTGGAAGACATCTTCTGTTAGTTTAATGCTCCACCTTAGCAGGAACTCTTTCTCTCTGTAATAATCCTGAAAGATTCTTTTTCTAGCTTTGCTTGAACACATGCAGTATCTTCATACCACATATTTGCATTACATAAAAGTTATTCTAGAAACAGCAAGTGAGAATAGGCCCCTGCTTAGTTTTCTCTTTTCTGTTGCAAATGTCATTCAATCTGGAGCTTTAGCAACTGGAAAAATTTCTAATCTCTGCTCTTATTCAGTTTAGTTCCCTAAACATTAAAGGAATATTTGCTGTATGCCTTACTTTACTTACTACTAAGCAGTAGGAATACAAAGGTAAAACAATATAATCCCTACTGTTAAAAAAATCATTCATAGCCCTGTAGGGGAGCCATATTACAATATAATTATTTTTATACACTCTCATAATCATAATAGTACAGAGATGATACAGTTTAAACTCTCTTCATGGCCTCTATTCATTACTATAACTCTATCACTATCTCTGGTCATGCTTTCTTGTCTTCTGAAATTTCGTTTATTCATCTAAAATGTATGTTTTGAGATAGAGTCTTGCTGTGTTGCCTGGGCTAGAGTGCCGTGCTGTCAGCCTAGCTCACAGCAACCTCAAACTCCTGGGCTCAAGCAATCCTTCTGCCTCAGCCTCCCGAGTAGCTGGGACTATAGGCATGAGCCACAATGCCTGGCTAATTTTTTCTATATATTTTTAGTTGGCCAATTAATTTGTTTCTATTTTTAATAGAGATGGGTTCTCGCTCTTGCTCAGGCTGGTCTTGAACTTCTGACCTTGAGTGATCCACCTACCTCCGCCTCCCAAGGATTACAGGCATGAGCCACCGCACCCCAACCTAAAATGCATGTTTTGAGTATCTACTATATGCAAGGCACTGGACTGGGTACTGGGCAGTTCTTTTCATTCAGAGAAAGTTAGGATTATTTTGATCACTGTATGTGTGTGTGTGTATGTTTTCTTTCGAACTCCTGACCTCAAGCAATTGCCCTCTCGCCTTCAGAGTGCTAGGATTCAGGCGTGACCCGTGCCTGGCCTGTTTTGTTTTCTTGAACCATACATTACCTTTTTTTTTTTTTGAGACAGAGTCTCGCTTTGTTGCCCAGGCTAGAGTGAGTGCCGTGGCATCAGCCTAGCTCACAGCAACCTCAAACTCCTGGGCTCAGGCAATCCTCCTGCTTCAGCCTCCGAGTAGCTGGGACTACGGCACGCGCCCCATGCCGGTAATTTTTTCTGTTATATATATTATTGGCCAGTAATTTCTTTCGTATTTATAGTAGAGACAGGGTCTCACCCTTGTCAGGCTGGTTTCGAACTCCTGAGCTCAAACAATCTGCCCGCCTCGGCCTCCCAGAGTGCTAGGATTATAGGCGCATATATTACCTTTTTTCAATTAATCTTCCCTTTTCTCTTCACCCTTTCTACTTAACTGTGTGGTGCTGTCCTCTGCTCTAAGGGACTTCATATGCCATTCTGCACACTGCACCTAAACTCCTGCCTCTCACCCCTACCTTTGACCCTCGTTCATTAGGAGCTTCATTCTCTCGCAGTTGCTTCCTGCATAGCAATAGATGGTAAAAGGCTTGACCAAATATAAAACAATTCTCAACGATGGGGTTCTCAGCTATTTTCAATAACCTTTCCTATTAAAATAGTTCCTTATTAATTAAAATTTCAGGCCCATTAAGTTGTTTAAAATATGTCATACATATTAAATATATTTTTCAAAAAATTCACCAAAAGTTTTAAGTAGACATTTAAAAGTGACACACATGGGAGGCCATGTGGGCGGATTGCTCAAGGTCAGGAGTTTGAAACCAGCCTGAGCAGGAATGAGACCCCGTCTCTACTATAACTAGAAAGAAATTAATTCGCCCACTAAAAATATATAGAAAAAATTATCTGGGCATGGTGGCGCATGCCGTAGTCCCAGCTACTCGGGAGGCTGAGGCAGGAGGATCGCTTGAGCCCAGGAGTTTGAGGTTGCTGTGAACTAGGCTAATGCCAGGGCACTCTAGCCCAAACATAGTAGTGTGAGACTCTATCTCTAAATAAATAAATATAAATAAATAAATAAATAAATAAATAAATAAATAAATAATAAAAGTGCCACACAGAATGTTGATGCCTTGTGGTATACTTATAGCAATGCTGCTCAATTCAATCCTGGGAAGTCTTTAAGGGCAATGATTAGTTTAGTCTTTGGCACTTTAAGGCTACTCAGTTCATTGTTTTATAACTATTATGCCTATATAGGGAGATATATAATATATTTAGGAAAATATCCCTTTTATTTCTTCTGTAAAAACTTACTTTCTAGATATATAGTTTGTGTTGATTGTTGAACTGAAGTAGAATTAATGAACTTAGGCGAACATTGATGGGCACTTGGCTGGCACTCAATACAACTGTCAAGAAATAAATGAACTTGGGAAGCAAGTCAGTGTTTTCAAACTTTGAACGATACTGTGACTGGTCTCTGTTTGCTCCATTCACATTACAATTATGAGTAGTGGTCAAGTGCTTTGTGGTTATACTGCTAGTTTTGAATAACCATGTGCGGACAAGAGATTCTGTTCCTATTTCTGTTACTTGAGAATCTTTTTCTTTATAAAATGTTTATATACAGATGAAGATATATTTGTTTCATAGGCCAAAGTAAAACAATAAGTACAAAAATAGAAATGTTTTCTAAACATACTGCCAATGACAGTTCTAGATTATGATGTCTAAAACCACTGCATCTGTCTTCCAAAATCAATGTGGCAAACACTTGGTTAGCCAAAATTCCCAGGGGTTGGGATATAGTATAATTTTCTGGGTAGCCTTGTTTAAAATCATTCCAAACTATGTTCTTGCCTTTTACTAAATAGAAGACTGGGAATTTGAGCAAATCTTGAGAAATCCTAAATTGCTTTTAGGACACTAATATGACACAGAAATCAATCATTATTTTCCAGGCCCCTAATTATGAAATTTATAGACAGCAAACCAGTTCTCTACTTATTTTTGTGAAAGATGCAGCAAACTGCTGTTATTGTTTAGCAATGGGTTTGATTCACTTTCTTAAAATCAACTGATCCCTTCTTTTTTTAAAAAAAAAACCTATTTTGAAGTCATACACCATGAAAATCTTCCAGCTGAGTTTGCTTTATAACTGGACTCTGAGTGAAAATACTAGGTATTTTAAAAAACAAACCGAATGAGTTTAGAAAATAAAGTGAGATTGCAGCACCTCTTGAGAGTGTCTGAGGAGGTCTCTTTTCCTTTTTGATTGCAATGGCAAGGTTGGGAGAAACTGTGACGAGTAAGAGGCAGAGATCCAAAGTCGAATGTAGCATCACGTCTTCTGGAGAATCTCTCAGAAGAAGCTGGATGACAGAAAATAATTCTTAGAGTCTAATGGGTTGTTTCAGGCTGTCGTTACAAGACATTGGCTAAGAGCTGCACCAAACTTGCGGTGACATATTGCTCTGGTTCTTTGATTTGACATGGTATAACCACCTAGAACTTCCATTCACATTTTACTTTAAATGGTCAGTTGGCAAAACGTCACATTCTGGGCATCTTGAGCATAGTGCGATGTAGTTGAAAGAGAGCTGAATCAGGGTACACAAAGCCTGCTTCTGAACTACACTGCAGTGCTCACAGCACCATGATGAAACTCAAATAACATCATGTTTCTGAATGGCCTCTAAAGTGCAATACAAAGGTGACTTTTAGCATACAGAGATATTCTTTGCCTTTTGATTCTTCTGGACCTAATGGGTTAAAACAATGTCTTAACTCTGATAAGATTGGGCTTGAACAAATATCGCTTAAAATAGAAATCAGAGGAAAAATAGAATACAGAGGATTCTTGTCCTTCGATTTCTCTATAGTCACTTACCTTTCACATCCTTTCAAGTTACTTAGCCTTTTTCCCTTCAGTTGATAATATAGCTATTTTTAAAAATCAAATATTGTCACATTGCTATAAATTAAACATGCTTATAAACAAGAGTAGCCTTGTTATGATTACATTCTCTCTTGTTAGCTAGAATTCATGTTGATTCTAAATTTAATATTGCTGTCCTTTATACTTTACATGTTAAGATGTAAACAAAAAGTACAGAGTAGGGCCTGGTCTGGTTTTAAACCACTTTGTAAATATATTGGCTTGGAGTGTTTAATGTTTGTGAGATGTTTTTATTATAGCATTCTTAGCATATAAAACCCATTTGAAAATGGTTGACACATGTAGTTTGGAAATTTCACCTCAAAATATGAAACAAATGTACAGATATCCTTCACATTTATTTAAAATTTCTTTAAAACATTTTTCCTGTTGATTTGCATTATGTAGTAGTGAATTTCTCACCAAAATAGTGAAATTCATTAGCCAAAATGACTAGTGAATGACTGACTATATAGTGATTCTGTTCAAATGTGGAAGTTGCTGGATTTAACTATACTAGGCATTGTGAGAAATGAAAAGATTAAACACAATGTTTTGGTATTGGTAAAACATTGGCGATTGTGATAATTGTAATAGTCTAGTTATGTAAAATGGCAACTGTAGTCATGGAGAGAGAACAATTTGGTGGTGGTGAAGTTTATAGATTCCAGTTTTCTCCAGACATTTCTTGATTCTTCCCATTCTAGTATTTTTCCCTTCCCAGGTGTATATCTCTTCTGTCCCTTCTCTGAATTGAAAATGGTTGAAATTATTTCCCTCTGTAATCTGCAAAAGACCCATTTGTTACCTTCTTCGTATTCAGGCTTGTTAAATAATAACCATGGTTCCTGATAAGGATCTCAATTGAAGTTTCCGTAACTTACTAAACCATAAAACATTTCAGAATATCCTCTTGTACCTAAAACACTGCAACAAAGAAAGGGCGGGTTTTAGGCAGGTGGGAGGTTGCAGTAGAGAAACTGAAGCAGCCATTTAGAATAGGGTCCTAAACTGGATCCCATGGGCTTCTAAAAGGTCTACGGGTGAGCTACAGAAGGCTCAAAAACATCCTGAAATCGTATATAAAATTGTATGTGCCTTTGTTCATTTGTCTTGGGAAGGGGGTCTAAAATTACATTAAGATTCTTCCAGGGATCTTGGATGTAAAGAAGAGTTAAGAAAAGTCAATCTGGAGGAAGCATTATAAAGGTTTTTCTACGATAGGGACAGAGATAGGCAGGTGGAATCTACTTTAAAAAAAGAAAGAGGAAGTATAATTTCATCATTTTTGCTATTTTAAAGCTACCAAGTTTAGAGCTGAGTGGGAACCAAATCATTTTTCAAATTTCAAGTATTTATGGACTATTGTCAAATACTTTCTACTTAAAAAAATTAAAATCTTGGTTTTCTGTTTTACATTATTTGATAAATTATAGACATTGAATATATTCTATGACAAAGCAATACAACTTGTACATTGTTTTTGAATAAACAATACTTTCCTTGGTAAAATAGAATGTGTAAATTGCGGAGGGTCCTTTAATACCCATTACAAGGTTAAATTGGAAAAGCACAGGTGAATATGACATAGTTATATCCCTACAGCAGTTTATGGTTCACTTGAGAGGCACATAAACAAATTACTAGGTTTGATAAACACTGGCCAGTTAGCATTTTCTGACACTAGTATTTTATCTTTCAAAAGTAATTAAACACAGCTAATTTACTTAGATATTATGTTAAAAGTTTCTATATTTTAAAATGCAACAAAATTTAAAATACTACAAGGAAAAATCATTGTTACTTGTAGAATAATTTTTAAAGAGTCACTTTTGGTCAATGCCAATTGATTCTAATATCACTACTATCAAAGAGAATAAAACTATGAAACCAGCAAAGGAAATCCTGTTCAGTAAAAGAAGAAAAATACAATTTCATTTCACTTTCCCCACTTTTTACTGAAAGTTTTAGTTTTAAACAGAGAAATTGATCATTTAAATATGGCAGTGCTTTACCACTGATTAAATAATCTGGAAACTTTGCTTGCTTACCTGAACTGGCCAGTGAACTTGTTGGAAGTGTACTCTGGATGTTTCTGGTTGAAAATGGGTGTGGATTTATAGACACAAACACACCTGACCTACAACCCCGCCTGCATAGAAACAAGAGCATAGTAACCTGCAAATTTACAAAAACAGGCTTGTCTGAAAAACTCTGTACTTCTTTCCAGTTCTCATGCTTGTCACACTAAAAAAGCTCTTCTTTCTTTCTCTAAATTAAGATTGAGTGTCCTGATAAAATGAGGCCAAATACCATCTCTGGGCTTTTTTCTCTTGTGCCTTTTACTTCCCAGAGTAATTTAATGTTTGGCTGGAGGTCAATGCCAAGAAAAGAACGGGGAGGGAAGAAAGAACCAGAATAAATGTAGGAACTGTGTGTGTGCCATTGTTCTTGATGAGAGTTCCTGGAGGCTTGCAGATTAGATATCAAGCAAATAGAAATTCCTAAGGGTTATTCTGTTTGCGGGAATATAATTAACAGCTAGGGAAATCAAATCCTTTTTTTTTTTTTTTTTTGAGAGGTAGAGTGAGAGAGAAGGAAATAAAAATGTTTTAAATTCAACATTGTTATAATTTGATTATTCTTTACAATCTTTCCATAAAATCTTTACTATGCCAAAAAAGTAGAAAAACAGGCAATTAGGTACATTTGTTAATATTTACCATAATAGGTACTGTTTAATTAACAGTATTAAGAAGATTAATTAATGGCATTAATTAAGTCAACTAATTTAATTACTATTAAAATGACGTAGGGCAGTGGTCACCAAATCTGATCCATCTGTTTATATACAGCCCAGGAGCTAAGAATGGTTTTTACATTTTCATTTCTTTTTTCTTTTTTTTTTTTTTGAGACAGAGTCTCACTCTGTCACCCAGGCTAGAGTGCTGTGGCATCAGCCTAGCTCACAGCAACCTCAAACTCCTGGGCTCAAGCGATCCTCCTGCCTCAGCCTCCCGAGTAGCTGGGACTACAGGCATGTGCCACCATGCCCAGCTAATTTTTTCTATATTTTTTTTTTTTTAGTAGAGACAGGGTCTCGCTCTTGCTCAGGCTGGTTTCGAACTCTTGACTTGAGCAATCCTCCCGCCTCAGCCTCCCAAAATGCTAGGATTGCAGGTGTGAGCCACCATGCCGGCCAGTTTTTACATTTTCAAATAGTTGGAAAAAAATCAAAAGAAGAATCATATTTTGTGACGTGAAAGTTATATGAATTTCAGATTTCGGTGGATGGAGAGCAACCGTGCCCATTTGCTTGCATTCTCTCTATGGCTGCTTGTGTATTGCAACAGCAAATTCAAGAGTATAGTCCAAGATCCCCATGGATCCGGGATACTAAAATGCATGCACACACAAGTCCTGCAGTTGGCTCTGCAACTTGCAGATATGAACATTCCATCCTTGTTATATATAGGTTTCACATCTTGTCTGTAGTGCAGTCATATGATCATAGCTCACTGCAGCCTCCAACTCCAGGTTCAAGAGATCCTCCTGCCTCAGCCTCCCAGGGAGCTAGGACTACAGACATGTGCCACCATATCTGGCTAATTTTTTTTTTTTTTCTAGAGCTAGGGTCTCACTATGTTGCCTAGGCTAGTCTCTCACTCCTGACCTCAAGTGATCCTTCCTCCTTAGCCTTCCCAGTCGCTGGGATTACATGCATGAGCCACCGCGCCTGGCAAGTACTATATTTTCGATCAGTATTTGGTGATCTGCCCACAGGAGGGCTGACTGTTTTTACGGAAAAAATTTACATTGACCCACACAGTACAAATCTGTGTTGCTCAGGGTCACTGAACTTGAGACAGGAACTTTATGGCCTGCAAAGCCTCAAATATTTACCATCTGGCCCTGTGCAGAAAATGTTTGCTGATCCCTAATCCAGGGATTTTGTTCATAAATTGGTCCTTGCTTTCTTCCTTCTCTCCCTCCCTTCCTTCCTTTTTATTTCTTTTTTTGTCTAATTGCTCTGAATGTAGCTAAAGAGAGTGATGATATCTTCTTCCTGATGTTAAAGGGAGTATACTTCTAGTATTTTAACTTTAGACGTAGTGCTGTATTTGGGCTACCATGTCAAGAAGGTAGCCAGTATTCTTATATTATGGCTGTTAAAAGCAGGAATTTTTTTTCTTTTTTTTGAGACAGAGTCTCGATCTGTCACGCTGGGTAGAGTGCAGTGGCGTCATCATGGCTCATAGCAACCTCAAACTCCTAGGCTTAAGGAATACTCTTGCCTTAGTTTCCCAAGTAGCTGGGAATATAGGCATGTGCCACCTCACCTGGCTAATTTTTGTACTTTTTGTAAAGACAATGATCGATCTCACTTTTGCTCAGGCTGGTCTCAAACTCCTGAGTTCAAGAGATTCCCCTGCTTTGGCCTCCCAGAGTGCTAGGATTACAGGGATGAGCCACTATGCCTGGCTTGAGATTCATCCATGTTATTACATGTATTAGTAGTTCCTTCCTTGTTATTGCTGGGTATTATTCCATCATACAGATATACCTCAATTTGTTTATATGCTCACCTGTTGTTGAGCATTTGAGTTGTTTCTAACTTTGGGATATTATGAATAAAGTTGTTACGAGTGTTCCAGTACCAGGCTTTGTGCGGATATATGTTTTTATTTCTCTTGGGTAAACACCTGCAAGTGGAATTGTGGGGTCATATGGTAAGTGTATGTTTAAATTAGTCAGAAACTATTAAACTGTTTTCCAAAATGTTGTACTAATTTACATTGCCATCAGTTGTTCCACATACTGACCAACACTTGGTATTATCACTCTTTTTTTTAAATCATAAATGAATATATTTTATTCCTTATAAAAAAATTTTAACAAATAGAAATTGTTCATATATGTGCATTATATATGTATATACAGTTGGCCCTCTGTATTCATGGATTCTGCATTGGTTAAGTCAACAAACCACAGACTGAAAATATTTGAAAAAAAAAAAAAAAAAGGATGGGCTGGGCATGGTGGCTCATGCCTATAATCCTAGCACTCTGGGCAGCTGAGGCAAGAGGATCACTTGAGGTCAGGAGTTCAAGACCAGCCTGAGCAAGAGTAAGACCCTGTCTCCACTAAAAACAGAAAGAAATTAGCCGGACAACTAAAAACATATAGAAAAAATTAGCCGGGCATGGTGGTGCATGCCTGTAGTCCCAGCTACTCGGGAGTCCAAGGCAGTAGGGTTGCTTGAGTTCAGGAGTTTGAGGTTGCTGTGAGCCAGGCTGATGCCATTGCACTTGAGCATGGGCAACAGAGTGAGACTTTACGTCAAAAAAAAAGGATGGTTGTGCCTGTACTGAACATGTATAGACATTTTTTTTCTTATTATTCCCTAAAAAGGTATTATCAATCTTTTTAACTTTAACCATTCTGTGGATACATAGTAGTGTCTCATTATCATTTCAATTGACATTTCTCTAAAGACTAATGATGTGGAGTACCTTTTCATGTGCTTATTGGCCATTCATATATCATCTTTGGTGTAGATCTATTAAAATATTTTCTCTATATTTAAAACATTATGTTGGTTTTGTTATTATTAGTTATATTCAGTAGTTTTTGGGGAAAATGTTCAGTAAATATCTGTTAGGTCCATTTGTTCTAGAGTCCCATTTAAGTCTAGTCTTTATTTATTTTCTACTTGGATGATCTGTCCAGTTCTATCAGAGAGGTGTTGAAGTCCCTAGCAATTATAATGCTGCTGTTTATCTCTTTGCTTAGATCTAATAGGATTTGATTTATGAATCTGGATGTGCGTGTGTTATATGCATAAATTTCTTCTTATTCAATTGTTCACTTTACTCATTATATAATGACCATCTTTTTCTTTACTATTGTTGATTTAAGGTCAATTTTATTTGATATAAGAATTGCTACACTTGCTTTCTTTTGGTTTCTGTTTGCATGGAATATTTTTTCCATCACTTCACCTTGAGTGTATATGAGTCCTTGTGGGTTAGATGTGTTTCCTGGAGACCACAGATATTTCATATCTATGTTTTCATGCGTTCAGCCAGCCTTTGTCTCTTGAGTAGGGTACTCAGACTATTCATGTTCATTGATATGTGGGAAACTATTCTGTTCATCCTGTTGGGGTAGTACCTTATTGCTTTGCTATACCTCTTAAGCCGTTGTTTTATATGAGCTCTGAGCTTTAGCTTTTGGGGGGATTTACTCTAGTGGGTGTCCATTGTGTGATCCATGTATGATGTGGTTCTAAGTACTTTCTATAGGGCAGGTCTGGTCTTGACAAATTCCCTCAGTGTTTGTCTGTAAAAGTTGTTATTTCTCCTTCATTTATGAAACTTAGTTTTGCAGGATACAGAATTCTAGGCTGGCAGTTGTGTTTAAGAAGACTGAAGATGGGGTCCTAATCACTTCTGGCTTATAAGGTCTCAGTTGAGAAGTTTGCAGGTAGCCTGATGGATTTTCCTTTGTAAGTTACTTGATGTTTTTACTTCATGGCTCACAGGCATTCCTCCTTCATGTTGACTGTGGCCAGTCTGAAAAGTGTGTGTCTTGCTGATTGCCTCTTTGCAATGAATCTCTGAGGTGCGCTTGTTGAGCTTCTCGTACCTGCATGTCTAAATCTCTAGCAAGACCCAGGGAAGTTTTCCTCAATCCTTCCCTCAAATAGATATTCCAGCTCTTGTCCATTTTCTTCTTCACCCTCAGGGATGTCTATGAGTCTTATATTTGGCTGTTATAAAAAAAAAAGTCCCATATTTCTTGTAGGCTTTGTTCATTACTATTAGTTCTCTATTTTTTATTTTTGACTAATTGGATTAATTCAAAAGAATCAAGCTTTGATATTCATGGTCCAGTCTATTCTTAAAACTTTCCACTGTGTTTTGTATTTCCTTAGATAAATTTTTCATTGCCAGAAGTCCTATTTGTTCTTTTTTTCCATATGTTGATCTCTTTAGTGAATTTTTCATCCATTTCCTGAATTATTTTTCTGATTTCTTTGAGTTGGTTTTCCACTTTCTCTTAGATTTATTGAGCTTCCTTACAATCCATATTTGGAATTGTTTATCTATCATTTCAATATTTTCATTTTGGATGGTATCCATTTCTAGATAGCTGATGTTTCCTTTTGCAGGTGCCCTTTGGTTCTGAATTTTTATATTTCTGGAGATTTTTCCAATGATTCTTTCTCATCCAGGGCAGCTATCACTTGTTATTTTGGATTTTCTTTTGTTTAGATGGGGCTTTTTTTTTTTCCTTCCCCTGTACTCCTAAGGGAGTGCCTGTAGCATATGTTGGGTAAGAAACTTTGGCTTTGCTT